AGGGGCACTGGCAGAGCTGGGGGGCAGGGCTGGGGTAGCAGGGGGCTATGGGTCGGGATTGAGGGGCACTGGCAGAGCTCAGAAGAGGAGTTGATTCTTGTCACTCTTATGCCCACCAGCTCCCGAATCCCATGGTGGCCCCCGTCCAGCAGAGCCTGATGGGCAGCGGCTCCCCCATGCAGGACGCCCCCCGCAAGGTAGCGTGTCCCGTCCCTTCTCCGTGGCTCTGGGGGGTGGTGGCTGGCCAGTGACGCAGCCCTCACCGGTCGGGTGTGTGTCAGGAGTGGCAGAAGCACCCTAAAAGTGGGGGGCTCTGGCCCCCTGCCCCCCCGCCCCATTCCGGTGCCCCAGTGTGTGTGCTCCCAGCCAGATCCCAGTTTAACCCCTGGGGAGGAACTGGGGACAAGGGCCAGGAAAAGCCAAACAAGCCCCAAGGGCCTGATCCTGCCACCAGGGGGCGCCGCTCCCCACTGAGCACCATGGGGAGGTCATGGCACGTTGCCACCTGCCCCTTACTCCAGTGGGGTGAGTTACACCAGCATTTCCACCACCCCGGAGAGTGGCTCGGCGGGCCCAATCCTGACCCAACTGGCGTCATCTGGAGTTTTGCTGCTGGTTGCGGTGGGAGCAGGAGCAGGCCCATTGCTGTACAGGGAGGAGGCTGGGGCAGGGGCCCTGGTGGTCTGCATGGCCCTGGGGCTGTGTGGCCTGGGGAGGGCAGCTGGGGGTAGGACTGGGGGGGGGGCTGGTTGGACCTTCCTGACCCTGCTCTTGCTTGTGGTGCCCAGAAGCCCCCGTGGAGTGAGCACAGGGCCCCGGACGGGCGCATTTACTACTACAACTGCAACTCCAAGCAGTCCACCTGGGAGAAGCCGGATGAGCTGAAGTCCAAAGCAGAGGTGAGTTCCTTCAGAGCCCTTCACCCAGCACTGAGATGCAGCCACCTCTGGGGTGGGGCGCAGCAGCTGAGTGACAGCTGCACAGCAGTGCTAGAGGGCCGCTGGAAATGTGCGTGTGCGTCCAGGAGTAGATTAGGGAGGCAGAATATAACATGAGGATTTAGACCTCAGCTCTTGTGACCCACTGGCCCGCTCCCCACGAGTCCTGCCTCCATTCTAAGCACCGGTATTGTCAGTGCCCTCCATTGGCATGGGCCGGTGGCTCATGGTGCCCTGCTCCTCCCTCCGCAGCTGCTGCTCTCCCAGTGTCCCTGGAGGGAGTACAAGTCGGACACGGGCAAGTCCTACTACTACAACTCCCAGAGCAAGGAGTCGCGCTGGACCAAGCCCCGGGACCTCGACGAGCTGGAGGGTAAAGGGGGCAGCAGCCCAGGGAGCTGGGGACCAGGGCAACACACCCTCGGGAGCATCGGCAGACGCCCCCGTGCCCCAGGCTGATGCTTCTGTCTGGGCTGCAGGGTAACCCCCCCGTGGGCCGGGCTGGGAGTGCAGCCAGTGCCCCCTGGGTCTCTGTGCCCCAGCCTGTGAGCGGTCCCAGACTCCCCAGTGATCACCCCTGCCATGAGGGCAGGCCTCCGAGCCTGGGCTTCTGGGCTCCAGCCCTCCTGCGTCTCCCCTGAGCTCTGCCCAGGAGTCCCACTGCACTAGATTCCTGCTCCGAGATCTCAGGGACCCGCTGCACCCCCAGCAGCCTGTTGTTAGCCAGCAGGGCCCAGCCCCCCCTGTCCTGGGCGCGGCCCGGGGAGGCAGAGGAGAAGCCGGAGTTGAGGCTGGGCAGTGCCGGGCTCCACCAGCCGGTTGCTGTGGATCTGCTCCTGTCTCTTGGTCCCGGAGAGCCTGTGTCTCAGAGCCCAGCCCTTAGCCCAGCCTCCGGCACCTCTCCGGCCCTCGCCCTGCTGAGCCCGCGCGGCCCTGCCCGACGCCTGGCATCAGGCTCAGCCCCTGGGGCTCCCAGTGCCTGGCCAGATCCTGTGTCGAAGCGGGTCGGTTGCAGCCAGGCCTTAGCGGGCCAATCGCACCAGCCACGTGCCCCAGGCCCCCTGCTTTGCCCCGGGAGCAGCTTCAACCCTTTGCACCCGCCGGGCACAGAGGCAGAGCTCCTCGCAGTGACACGTCCCCACGTTGGCCACCGGGCGCCGCCCCCCGGGCACCGAGTAATGGCCGGACTCTTTGTTTCCCTCCTTGCAGCGCTCATTGAGGAGGAGGAGGCTGGGTGAGTGGCTGGCGTCTGCCCCCGGGGCTTGGACCCGTTAGCTCTGACCCAGGGCGGTAAGAGCAGGGCGCCGGCGCCCCCGGGGGCCAGAGGGGGGCAGAGCCCTCAGGAACACCCCCCCCCCTGGAGGACACAGGAGCAGGGCCCTCAGGAATGGGGGCCCCCGGGAGCTGGGGGTGGGGGTGCGCTCAGGAACAGGGCCCCCTGGGGGTCAGAGAGGGGGGTGCCCTCCGGAAGGCCATGGGTTTCGAGGGCAGGTACCTCCCTCGCTGGGGTGACATGGGGAGGGCAGAGCAGAGACCACCCCCCCGGCATGGGGCCTACAGGGGCCACCCTGCCCCTCATGGGTGGTGGGCCCCACTGAGCCGTGAGCCCAGGGGACTGGCCCTCAGGGCTCTGCGTGGGCCCCTCTGTCCCCCTCCCCTCTGTGTCTCACTAGACCCAGGCTCCGGCCTTCTCTGCTCTTCCAGGAAGCAGCAGGAGACGCCGTCAGCCGCCTCTAGCCCCAGCCTGTCCTCGGCCGCCACCACGGACACGGAGGCTGCGGGTGGGGAGGAGCAGGAGACGCCTGCGCTGGGGAGCTTGGCCGAAGGCCCGGAGGAGGCAGCCCTGCAGCAGGAGGAAGTGACCAGCAGGTGATGGCGACCTGGGCTGGGGAGCTGCTAGCAGGGACCCCCCCCCACGTATCGGGGGCGTTTGCTCTCCTCGGACGCTACGCCCGGGGGCCAGTTAGCACCAGCATCCGTGGCCAGGCCCGTCTGGATACCCCGGGCAGGAGCTGGGCCCCGTAGTGTCAGGCCCTGCTCCAGAGAGTGGAACAGAGACAACAGTGACCGGCCAGGAGACGTGATTCCAGCTGAATGCACCCCCTGCCGGGGAGCGACGAGGCCCCTGGCCCTTCCCCCGGGATCCCCCCTGCCGGGGAGCGACGGGGCCCCTGGCCCTTCCCCCAGGATCCCCCCTGCCGGGGAGCGACGAGACCCCCGGCCCTGCCCCCGGGATCCCCCTGTCGGGGAGCAACGGGGCCCCCCCTGCCGGGGAGCGACGGGACCCCCAGCCCTTCCCCCGGGATCCCCCCTGCCGGGTAGCGACGAGGCCCCCAGTCCTTCCCCCGGGATCCCCCCTGTCGGGGAGCGACGGGGCCCCCGGCCCTTCCCCCGGGATCCCCCCTGCTGGGGAGCAACACAGCCCCCGGTCCTTCCCCTGGGATCCCCGTCGGGGAGTGAGTGTTGCTGAGCCAAGCGGGACGCCCCACTCCAGCTCAGCCTGTGCCCCTCCCCCGCTCCTCCTGCAGCTCCCTGGGGCGCAGCCCCCAGCGTTTCATGCCATGACCCCGGTGTGTTTGTGTTCCCGGCGCAGTGGCGACCCCGGCCGGCGGGAGGAGGAGGAGGAGGGGGGGGCCGGGGAGAGGTGCGCCTGCAGCTGGAGCACCAAGGATGAGGCCAAGCTGGCCTTTAAGGAGCTGCTGAAGGACAAGGTACGGAGGAGGGAGCCAGGGCGGGGGGCTGGCTAGGGCAGTGGGCCTGTTTGCGGGGGGCTGGGGCTGGCCAGGGCGGGGGTCCTGTTTGTGGAGGGCTGGGACTGGCCAGGGAGGCTGGGGCTGGCCGGGGGGCTGGGGCTGGGGCTGGCACGGTCCCAGCTGAGTCCCAGCGTTTGGTGTCAGGGCGTCCCCTCCAACACCTCGTGGGAGCTGGCCATGAAGATGATCGTGGACGATCCGCGGTACAGGTAGGGACCAGCCCCACTGCCGGCACCGCCCCACTTCCACGCTGGCTGCGTGCAGGAGTGCAGACCCCTGCAGGGAGTACCTGGGAGTAACCCCCCCCACCAGCCACCGCTCCTGCCCCGCTCCCCACAGCGCCCCCTGGCAGAGGCCGGGAGTGGAGTACCTGGGAGCCCCCCTCCAGCCAGCGCCCACTCCCCACAGCGCCCACTGCTGAGAGAGGCCGGTGCTGAAGTACTCGGGAGCCCCCTCCAGCCAGCGCCCCTGTTTCTGCCCTCGATGCTGGCCCCTCAGCAGCTGCCAGTGAGGGCCTCTAACCCAGCCCAGCCCGTCCGGTCTGTGCCCAGTGCCCTGCCCAAGCTGAGTGAGAAGAAGCAGGCCTTCAATGCCTACAAGGCCCAGCGGGAGAAGGAGGAGAAGGAGGAGGCTCGGCTGAGGGCCAAGGAGGCCAAGGAGGAGCTGCAGCGGTTCCTGGAGCAGCACGAGCGAATGAGCTCCATCACCCGCTACAGGTGTGGGCGGGCGCCGGGGGGGGAGGGGCCAGGCAGGGGCTGGGAGGCCGTGTGGGGAGAGCAGCCAGGCAGGGTGTCGCGTCCTGCCTGTTGAGGGGGACCCCTCAGTTTATGGGACCTGGCCTTGGGGTGCTGGATTGAGGGTCCCAGAGCAGGTGGAAGGTTAGGGAAGCACGCACACAGACAGCTAACAACATTCAGGATCCAACCAACCCCTGTGCGCCTCCCCTCCCCAAGCCAGAGAAAGAACCCAGGAATCCTGGCTCCCAGCCCCCCCCCCCCCCAACCCACCAGCCCCCACTCCCCTCTCAGAACCAGGAGAGAACCCAGGAGTCCTGGTGCCACTTGCTTTAGCCACAGATCACCCTTCCCTGGCAGTAGAGATGTGCGAGTCCGTTGTGGGCTGTTCTGCTGGGTCTGGGGCCAGCCTGCGGGTGGGGAGGGAGGGAGTGGGGCTGAGAGCAGGTTCCGGGGTCCCCAGTTAGACGGCATGGGGGAGGTGAGTGTCACTGGCCACGTGGGGCCCAGGGAGGCTGTTCTGGAAATGACTGAGGGAAGCAATCTCCGGGGAGGTGGGGGAGCCCTCCCTGGGGCATCTCCCCGGCCCAGAGGGGCCGTTTCACAAGCAGCTGGAGGAGCCCCTGTTAACGTCAGAAATCACCGACTGCGTCAGTCCCTCCAGGCGTCTCCATCGCCTCTGCCCCTGAGCCCGCAGGAGCCAGGCCGCCCCCTGCCCTGTCAGTATGCCCACCTGCTGGCCGCACTCTGGCTCCGTCCCCGTGGGGAGAAGTGTCTCGCTGCGTGGCCTCGCTGGGCCCGGGTGCGCAGTGAGGAGCTGGCCCAGTAACTTCCTGCCCCGGCCGTTCCCTTCCCAGGAAAGCTGAGCAGATGTTTGGGGAGCAGGAGGTTTGGGCTGTGGTCCCCGAGCGCGACCGCAAGGAGATCTACGATGACGTGCTGTTCTTCCTGGCCAAGAAGGAGAAGGTAACGGCGGGTCCCAGCTGTGACGCAGGGCAGTGACGGGCCAGTGTGAACCCGCCCGGAGTCAGTGCGGAGCGCTCGGCTGTCACAATCCAGAACGGTGACGGGCCAGTGTGACCCCGCCTGGTGTCAGTGCAGAGCGCTCGACTGTCACAATCCAGAACGGTGTGACCCCACCCGGTGTCAGTGCAGAGCGCTCGACTGTCACAATCCAGAACGGTGTCAGGGCCCGTGTGACCCCTGCCTGGCGTCGGCACGGAGCCCAGGCCGTCCCATAACGGTGTCAGGGCCCGTGTGACCCC